TTTCCATGTGGTGACTATTATCAAGTGTCAACACGATCATCCAGACCTTGGTGTGCAATAAAAAAAAAGAAGGCCAGGATGGGTCTAGGTCTCATACAGTTCCGGTGCTACAAAGACCAAAGGCAACAAATACAAACTAAACCCAAAGTAGCATCGCCAAACAGAATGAGAGGAAAAATTATGAATGTTAGGGAAACTAAGCCAGGGGCCAACAATATTTCGGATGAAATACACTGCAAACACTCCAACACTCGGAGTGCATGTAACCCAGCAGACAGCATGATTGTCTGTCCCCAGTATAGTCATAATTTTGCTCACAGTAGGGTTGCAAATATTTGCTTTATGCTTTTTACTGTGGAACTTTTGGTCTAACATTAAAGTTGCAATAAAAACCGGGACCAAATGCGCAATGTAAAACGTACCATGTATCATTTTCTACTCTGGTTCGGATCAGAGAACCAAATTCTTGAAATTCTTTAGGGGAAGCATAATCTTACTCTATCCTCAAATCTAACCTTGATAATGCCTGTCCTCCAATCCGCAGTTATGTTTACACAAGAAAGAGGGATTTTTTTTTCTTTGTATTTCTTCAGGTTATGGTCATACAGACCCACAAAAAGAAAGACCGTACTGTAACACGCATGTCAGGCCAGTAGTTAGCAGTGAGTCACAAAAAAGAAAAAAAAAATTAACTACTTGCATATCCGCAAACTGCTGGTCTTCCAGCACAAATATGTTTTTATTATGCTTTGTCAGTGTATACTGTATGTAAAACATCATGTAACACAACAGCAGCATGCAGCAAATATACACTTTGCGTCATAAATGCTACTATACCGCTGTCTTCCACCATTACTATTTTGAATGAAGTTCATTGGCCAGACTCACTACCTACATCTGCACATTCTTCATTGCCAAATGACTTTATGAGAATGACAACGTGATCGTTGTCGATGTTTGTAGAGGTGCTTTGCACTTTACAAAATTCTGTTGTTAGCTATAAGAGCTAACATCCAAAGTGACAGTTTTTTGGTCTACTAAAAAAAAACAGTCCGGTGTACATTCACCCAAAAACCAAGCCTTTATCTTGATGAATATAATGACTATCTAAAAAGTAGCCTAGCTTAGAAACCAAACTTTGTCTACATAACAAATCTTATCAAGTCATCTTTGCACACAGTAGTGACCAACACTAAACCACCACTGCACCTTCTCTTCTCTCATTTGAATAAATCCCTCTCTTGTCAGATCCAGAAGTTGTCTTTGCAGGTGATCTATGGTTTGTAGGGTTTGGTGGCCTGAATCCCGTGCCTACTGTCGTAATGCACAACATATGATTCTTTCTCCCTCTCGGAAGCAATGGGTCAGACCCCCACCCATAAGAGCAGAATTCTCTACGGAATGCCATGTCATGGAACAGATGGAGATCTACAGACAATGGAACCACATGCACATATTCCCTGGCCCTTGTACAAAAGCACGTGTCTTAAATGGAAGCCCCACCACACTTTCTTGGGTGCCATGGTACGCCTCTCAGTAAATTGGTAATATTCTGTTTAATCGTTGAGACATTACAGTATGGTGCGGCATTTTTTTTTTCTTCAAAGTCAAACCATTAATTTTGAGATTACATGACAAGACTTGGAAAAAAAACACAAGTTGACAGACTGAAAGGATCTGCAGACAGATTGAAGTGTGGTCCCTGAGAAGTAGAAGTCAAAGTTTCTGGTTTACCGTGACCACGATGCTGTTAAAAAAATAAGATGGAAATCTTACAAATGAAGCCAGCATAATTAACTGCATTCAGAAGAAATATCATAAAAGTATAAATAATTGTCACATTAGCATTGCTTTAAGAGCGGAGCAAAGTTCCACTATGAGATCATTGTATTTTTCTGATGGCTTATGGACGAGAGCTGCTCCCAAAGGCAGGGTCATGTTTCATTCATTTCACATATGCGATAGAAAAGAAACGAGAGGTACTATAATTACCCATCCAATTATAAACACTCATGCAGTCGACTACAATCTTTTAGTGCACTGTGCTATTGTTACATATACAAGCATTCTAGGCAATAACCGTGGAAGTAAAGCGGAACGCAGGATTGGATTGAATTCAGCTAACTCACCGACAACAACGACGGATGATCGGCTCCTCCCTGTGAATCCAGCGCGAGAGTGTACCAAAAAAAAGAGAATTCAGTGATATTTCCGAAGATGCCAAAGATCTTCTCCACCCACCCTACGATTCTATGACGGTAATGTATGGTGTCTCTGTTAGGCGTAACTCGAGCAGGCTGGAACTCTCCTCGAACTCACGCTACTCACACACTCGAACACGCACAAAACACGCGGCGTTACAACAAGACAATCTTACGCAAGCATTGAAGCTAAAAAGGCGTCAAAGAACGATGCTTTCAAGTCAGCGTTGGTCCGTGTGGCGCTTTTAGTGCTGAGCTTGGATGCTTTGCCTGTTCACTGTGCACTGACTGGGCTGCTCTCCTCCGGCTCCGCCCGCTAAGACTGCCTTCCCAGTTCACCCATTGGCACGCAAGGCCGGACATGCAAATCCACACTTCCCATTGGATTGGGACGTGTGAACAAATCTTCATAAAGTTCCAATTAGTACGTATAGCATTCAGTTCAATTACCCACGATTCTAACATTCGTTTTTGCCCCGCGAAGCAATACATAGTAAGCGTCGGGAAACTAACCGCGCATTGTCTATTTAGCAAATGTCAGTCTTTTGGTAAGTATCGATTTAGTCGTTTTCTTGAATACTTTTTGAGGTTTGGGTCTGTATTGGGCGTGAATCTATGTATTACTGTACTTGTGAAAGTACGTATTATATTGCTGAAAAAAATGGTACATCTTCGGTTCAAGATGATCAAAATGTCATGAACTGGCGTTATTTTCTGCTCTTTCCCTCACATATATCAAAATGCGATGTTACTTTAACACTATCAACCCATCAAGGAGCACTCTTTACTTTCCTGAATTGACATGCGCGAAGATGGTGAGGTACAACACAACGGAGGAAGCACGGCGAACCAATTATTCTTCCTGAGTGACCTTTGAGGAGGAGTCTGATGAGGATATTTTTTCCTTAAAACCCCAACAGAAGAGGAAGACCGAGGAGGAAGAAGGCCATGGAGATGGTGCAGCCGGAGGACGATGAACCGCACATCATGTGACTATCAAAGAACAAAAAAAAAATGTGCCAAAAGTATACGCTGTAGCCAGGATTAGCAGCCCGGAGATAGCCGAGAACCTTTTTTTTCCAGATGACATCAACTAGCTGATCGTGAACATGACCAACCTACAGGTACGCAAGACCAACGCGAGCAGCATCGGGCCTGCTGGGCATAAAAGGGTCTGCTGATCCCGGCTGGTATGTACCGATCTAAAAAAGAAAATAGGGCCAGCCTCTGGGACAAGAAGATGGGTCATCCCGTGTCCGCTGAGACAATGTTGCATAGGAGATTTACGCATATCAACCGCGCGATGCAGGTGCTTTGATAAGTTGCACAGGTCACAGCGTCATCACTACCAGTAAGATGTCTGAACCAGCAAAGCACAACTTTTGTCTTTATCAAAGCTTTCGTCAAAGCTGTCTTTTCATCTGGTGTCATGAGATTTTTTTTTTGTTGTTTGTTTGTTTGTTTTAACGCCAGCGATCACAAAGGTGCCCTGTGACAACTTTTGTCTTTATCAAAGCTTTCGTCAAAGCTTGTCTTTTCATCTGGTGTCATGAGATTTTTTTTTGTTGTTTGTTTTAACGCCAGCGATCACAAAGGTGTCCTGTATCTCTTTGTTTTTGCCATGTTTAATTTATTCAGTAATTGTTGGTTGTTTTATTGACATGCATTATTAATTCTAAATATTTCATAATTGTTGTGACATTTTGATCCTTTTCAAGGTACTATTTACCTTCCATAATCTTTTCCACTTTGATATCTATATACAAAGGACAGTATGCATACATTGACATATTTAGTGTCATGGTCATAACACAATACACTTTTATTGTTTATACAGGGCATAAAAGCAACCAATCTTACATGTATGGATAGGTCTGATGCCACTGAACATTTTGAGTTCGATTCCGGCTTCCTGTGTGGAGTTTGCATGGTCTGGCCGTGCCTGCGTGGGTTTTCTCCGGGTACTCCAGTTTCCTCCCATATTCCAAAAACATGCATGGAAGGTTAATGGAACACTCTAAATTGTCCTTAAGTGTGATTGTAAGCGTGAATGGTTGTTTGTGTGACCTGCGATTGGCTAGCAACCAGTTCAGGGTGTACAGCTAGGATAGGCTCCAGCACACCCGCGACCCTCGTGAGGATAAACGGATTCAAAAAGGGATGGACAGAAGGACGCTCTGCTGAGGCCACAAATGCTAGTAAATACACAGTAATGACGAACTCATCCACCAGAGGATAGCAGAGTTGAGTCTCTAAAAAGTGATTTTTGAGATTTTGGTGATTTTTTTCTTGTTTATTTTGTAAAATTAATATAAAAAGAGAAGCAACGCTTCACGAATCTGCGTGTCATTATTGCGCAAGCATTGTGAGGGTTCCTTTTCACCGCTACTCTGGTTGCCATATTGTCATCATGCTAAATGTCCTTTGTTTTGTTTTGTTTTTTTCTACACAAACACACACACACACACTTTCAATTATTTATGCACTGTCAAAATTGCAGTGTTTATTATACAATGACTTTTTAATCAATTTAAAGTGAAACAAATGTGTTTTTGTTTGAAAATGAACCTGGTTATGTTCCCAAAACAACAACAAAAATCTGTGTAGTATTGAAAAAAATTGTATCCATTATATAATGGGTTCAGTTGTTTTGGTATGTGAAGGACATTTTAGTAAAATTGATTTGGGAAGATTGGGAAACCCTGATATAAACAATGGAGTGAGATATTTTCATGTTCTTAATTGCTTCTACTGAGGAATTCAGGATCACTTCATCTGAAGTATTGATTTTTTTTTTTCCAGTGTCAGAATTATTCGAGATCCTCCTCTGTGATGTGATGCGGCGCAGTCTCTCTCTTTAGGGCCAATGTGCAGTCAGGTGGCTCAGGCCAGCACAGACGGTGGAGACGCTAACAAATAAACACAAATGTTGTACTAAAACATGCCAAAATCATATACAGGTATACAACCAAACAGTTGAGAATGTTCTCTCTGTCTCATAGAACAGGAATCATTCTTTCAAATTGCGTGGTCACTGGTGAACTTGGCCCACCTGACTGAGGGTTCCACTGACAGTGGTCAGCTTGTACAGTGCCCAGCCTGGCACCAGCAAGATGGAGGAGAGGGCCATCATCCAGCCCATCACGTAGGCCCATGTAGGGTACACGTACCAGCGGTTGAATGTCAGTGGCCGGTATTGAATTAGAGAACATGTGAATGAGATCTGGGCAAAAAAAAGTTTCCTTGTGTCTGGGTCATTTAAGCACAATGTGGCGATTGGTGCTGGAGCAGTTTTTCGAGTGTGCTGCCACAAGTCTTACAAGATAGGCTGATTCATTCATTTGCCACACAGTTGAGATATTCTAGCTCAATAGTGTCAAAACTTGTTTCGGTGGTCAATATGAATGTATGCCGGTGTAGCATCCACGTGCCTAAGTGCATCACGGCCATGTGGATATGGCGGTAAAGCAGAATTAATAACCTGCACCACAGAATCAGGTTTATCAAAATCTTCCCCTGGATATCTAGGGTCGAACAGTCAGCCACCAATGACCACCACGTAGACCCGTCCTTGCCTGTTCCGTTTTCCTGTTTTAGAAATTGAATGTTATCTTTGAGAACAAAAATGTCTCATGCTCCCCAGGATGAGATGGTGCAGGTTTACCTAATGAAACAAGAGCATGTTACTAGAGCTAAAAGATCAAGAGTGAGAAATTGCACTCACCAGTGAGACCAAGGGTGTCAGGTAGCGCCAGCAGATTTTAAAGAAAGGATTGGGACGCTTGCCTGTCATGTTTGTTATGATGCCGCTCAAACGATCTGCTCCTTCATAGAGAAGTATGTACAACAGCACATCATAATCTGCCCACTTTGGAGCTCCTATCATACTTGTGAAGCCATTCGCAATTGCAATCAAAGCGAGAACTAGAAAAAAGGTTTGTGATTGGTGTTCACTTGATTAGTTTTTGATAGTGATTCATTTTGAGCATCAGGGAAGTTGCTATGGTCAAAGTTCACTGTTCACATCAAGGTAAAACAAAAAAAAATCTCTTCTCAACAAACCACATCCACTCGACATAACATGAAAGCTGACCAGATCTGACCCATCGACCTACCAAATATCCAGCCCACTGCCAAGCTTTCAAATACACAGAGAAAGAGGATGCAGGCTCCGTTGCAAGCGTAGTATTCGACAATCTGGAAGATGTACATCCCTCCCTGAGGACGACATATTTGCACTCATTGTCAACAATATTAGGTACACATGTACGACTTAAATCGTAGCTACGAATTATATCTCAGCGATGCCGGAGCCTATCCCAGCAGACTTCAGGAGAAAGGCGGACTAGTCCCTGAACTGGTCGCCAGCCGGTTCCAGGGCACACATAGAGACAAACCACCATAGACACCCACATCCACACCGTCACTGAGCGGGAACCGAGCCCACGCTGCCTGGACACAAGTCAGGTGAGGGTGCCACGACACAATCAGTGACAAAAGTGTGACCAATATTCTGACCTCAGTGATCATGACAAGTTGTGAGAAGAAACACGTGAGGCAGAAGAGTAGCACGAAACATTCCCGTCTTCCCGCACGACGCAGTACTTCTGCAAATAGGTCAGTGATAGATGTCATCACCACCTCCATGCAAACAAACTGTGAAGAGAGAACAAAGGCACAAGGTCAGGTGAAGGCGAAAAGGAATGTAAAGACAAGACGTCTAACCTGTGTGTCCAGACCCAGAAGGATGATCATGATGAAGAAGCAGACGGCCCACACTTGAGGCACCGGCATCATAGCTACCGCCATAGGGTATGCGATGAACGCCAAGCCAGGGCCTGCAGCCAACATCCACGTGCACCAAAAACCATTAACTTGTGATGGGTGTTAAAACTCATTTTCTTCTGGTCCATATCATAGTCATGAGGATCACCTCTTTCTGATTGTTGATTGATTTTACACCCTCCACCCCCCCCCTCCCAAAAAAATCAACTTTCTACCCGATCATGCCTAGTGTTGTCGTAACACGCTATTATGACTAAGTCATGCTACCGATCTAGTGTTAGTGGCTAAAATGTTCTTATTTAAAGTGCTAATGATAATTTCTCATTGTTGGCACTGCTGTTTCGATGACGCTACACATGTGTTTTCTGGGAATATGACAACTATGCAGCTTTGGTCAGGGGGTCGTGAAGTGAGGCGACATTCGAATCTTGCTAGCGATTTTAAAACCGCAAACTCGCCTTTAAAACAAAAACAGGTGAGTAAGATATGCCCCACATGGGTCTGCAATTGACTATAGATGACAGAAGAGGCCGACAAATGACTACTTTTGTCGAACTGAAGCTCCTCAACCCAGGTCATTGTTCCTTGGCACAAAGAGAGCACATTAGGAGGAGGCAGGAAATGTTCACCCCTCTGAGGCCAGACCGCAACACACAATCACGACACTGCCTAATTTAAGCACATCCACCCTTGTTCTTCTTTTTAAAAAAGTGACTCACTGCTATTGACAGGGGGAAGGGGAGAGTCCGACTACAAGAGGGCCTGCCCAAAAAGGTTTATATATAATTGTTTATAAATATCACAACTTCCTCAAATCACTTCAACATATACAGAAGTTTCTTGGCATTAAGATGCCACATGATGGCACCAACATAACACTTTAATTGGTTTTCCTTGAGCACCAACACAGCAAATAAGTGACTTTTTCAGCAAATCACAAGAGGATAGGTCGGTGAAATCCCTCTGAGGCCAGACCGCAACACACAATCACGACACTGCCTAATTTAAGCACATCCACCCTTGTTCTTAAAAAAGTGACTCACTGCTATTGACGGGGAAGGGGAGAGTCCTACCACAAAGAGCACCTGCCCAAAAAGGTTTATATATAAGTGTTTATAAATATCACAACTTCCTCAAATCACTTCAACATATACAAAAGTTTCTTGGCAATAAGATGCCACATGATGGCACCAACGCAACACAACAATTGGCTTTCCATGAGCACCAACTAAGCAAATAAATGACTTTTTCAGCAAATCACAAGAGGATAGGTCAGTGACCAGGGCATATTTACGAATTAACTGCGAATCATGTGGGACTTCATTGTACCTGACTCTGCCACCTCAGCAATAGGGACGTCTTGCTCATGAGCCATGAAGCCCAGCACCGAGAAGACAGCAAAGCCAGCGACCATACTGGTGCAACTGTTCAAGGCGCACAGCCAAAAGCAGTCCCTGCAACACACAAACACTTATAGTACTTTATGAACAATGCGTTCAAACTATTGAGAAGCTGTAGCTTGGTGCCACCGTCGGAATAAATGTGTATTGTACTCGAGTAGTTTTCTAGCTTTATTGGAACACTTACTTGTAGCAATTGTTGCTGCGGGGGTTATAGCTGCCCAGTACAATCAGGGTGCCCACACCGATGCTGTACGAGAAGAAGATCTGCGAGCCAGCCTCCATCCACACCTGTTTAAAAAAAGGCTGTCATTGATTGTGTTTACCCTCTATCACAGCGTGTGTTGGATGTAATGCAGTCCTACTTGTGGGTCTGTTAGTCGTGACAGCTCGGGCAGAAGGTAGAACTGAATTCCCTGCGTGGCTCCCGGAAGAGAGATTCCTCGGATCAAAAGGATGAGGAGCATCACATAAGGGAATGTGGCAGTGAAGTACACTACCTGGACAAGAGGACAGTCACCAAATGTCACAGCATTAAGATATTTTTATTTTTATTTCTTTTAGCCTTTGGTACAGTTTGATGGGGCTTCACCTTTCCTGTTGATTTGACCCCTTTCCAGATGCAGAAGTAACAAATGACCCACATAGTCAGGAGGCACAGAAGCACCTCCCACCTGATGCTGCCAATCTCCTCAATGCCCCCTGAGATTTTTAACACTCTCCGTCTGGACGGGGTGAAAATAAAATTATGTCACTTAAAAAGTTTCAAAGATGCTATTATCATGTATCTCTCTTACTCCCAGAATTCCACTGCTGCTGAAGTTCTTTTGGTGTGGTTGGTCTGATTCCTCGTTGTCGTAACGTCAAAACATTCCACTGACAGAAGTGACAAAGGTGTACACAGACGCACAGACAGAATGTGTATACAGAGAGGACTGTAAACATTACACTGTTATACAAGCTGTTCACTGACTACTTTACATTGTATCAAAGCGTTATTTCCTCATTGGTATACCGTGTAAAAGATATTATGGAATAAAGCATTTACAAAAATGCGAAATGAGGCTTCCTTACCCAAAACCAAAGACTGACCTCACCTGTGTTCCAGTAGTTGTTGCAGGTGCTCCAGGGCAGCGTGGCGTTGAAGGAAAACAGCAGGTAGAAGAGGGCCCAGGACAAAATAATGATGTATGTCATGCAGCTGTACAGCAGGATCAGCACCCCCGCGTAGCCGATACCTGACACACACCACACACTACTGTATTAAAATTCTCCTGTTGCATTCTCCGTCTTCTTTTAAGCTTCAATTGACAGACAGATTAAATTCATCTCCAAAATGTCTTGATTAATATGGGAATTTATTTTTCTGTTGCTAATAGCAATGTGTCCAGGGCCTGAGCTAACAAAGCAGTCCCAAAACCTGATGCCTAGACCATACTGCACAGTTGGTATGAATGTTCACTTCTACTGTGGTTTTTATTTTCCAAACATAAGGTTACATGTTCGATTAAAAAAAAAAAAAAACCTTGGTTTGATCTGTCCAACCTACATATTGGAACATCCATGCGCTCTCCGTTGCTAACTTCAAACCTGTAGTAATGTTTTTGGGGACAGCAGTGGCTTCCTCTGCGGTACCCACCATTCATCCAACCATCCATGCTTCCATCCTTCCCGCCATCCATTTTCAACTCCGCTTATCCTGAACAAGGTTGCAGGGTAGTGCTGGAGCCTAATCTAGCCACACCTTGAACTGGTCATCAGTCAATCAAAGGGCACATATAGAGATGACCATTCACACCCACATCCACACAGTCATTAAGTGGGGCCCGGTCCCACACTACCCACACACAAGTCAGGCGAGAGTACCACGACACCTTCAGTGACACCACATGACATCCATTCTTGTTTAATGTATTACTTATTGTAAATTTGCCAACAGCGATGTTAGCATACTGCAGACATTTCTGTAAATCTTTAGGTGACCCTCACCTCCAGGGAGAAATGTAGCTCACAAGTGAGAGTGGCAACCAGCAAAAGTAATCCTCAATCGTATATTTTTTGTCATCACTGCGTACGGTCGGATTGATAAAGCATGATGTGCGCATGCGCGGTAAACCGTTGTACGGGTTTTTGTTGTTTTGTAAGGGGAATCGTAATCATTTATAAGGACAGCTTTTAGCCGAGGTTGACAGGCATGCAAGATAATTCTTCATTGTAGGAAGTAGGTACAGTTATTCTAATACCGCTTTGTATGAGGAACTGTTCACATCGAGCAATGCTTGTTCAGAGTGCAAACTCAAAATTGGCAACTTTAACCAATAACTTCAATCTCACGTAGACTTTCCGTTGACGGACTCCTAAATTACTTCTTAGAAAAGTAATTAGCCCGAGGGGTTCACACATACGTTCACATACATTAGGTGAAGCACAGAATTTGTCAATTGTTGTGACCTAGCTGAAGATCAGATCCCATTTTATCACCAATTTATGCAGAAACCCAGGTACCTGTAATTCCCAAATGTTTTGACATTTATTCTTGCAACTGTACATCAGCATGTCAGGATGTGATATCGACGTATTCATATTGCAATATAAGATATGTCACAATCTTATTTGATGCTGATCTGTCAATACTCGGTTGAAGTTGGTCCTTTTTGGAAAGAATCAGTTCCTTCACACTTTTGTTTCAGAATGGCCGTCTTCTATGTGACAGAGTGTTGCATACCTTGAGCCAATGGGCACATTTTCCACCAGCAGCTGATGCTCCCCTCTTGGGTGTGCTGGCCGATGGTGGTCTCCAAAAGGAAGATCGGTACACCGCACGTCACCACAAACACCAGATATGGCACCAAGAATGCACCTGAATGCGATTCATACTCCTTTGAGATTTGGACGACTTTAGCTCGAGAAAATGTTGCTTACCGCCGCCGTTTTTGTAGCACAAGTACGGAAACTTCCACACATTGCCCAGGCCCACAACGTTTCCAGCAACAGCCAGAAGAAATTCCACTTTGCTGCCCCAGTGTCCTCTCTCCTCAAGTGCATCTTGGCCCGGTTTTCCACCACAATATTTGCTCCACATTCCTTAAAAGCTCAAAATCAATCCGACCTTTCTTTCAGCCACACACATATGCAACACAAGCTGTCCAGTTTAATTTGTAGACCAAATTTTCAGATACAGTCACGTAATGAGCAACCGTCCGAGCAGTTAATCAGTTTCGAGGGCAAATATAAATCATCTCCAGAGCGGTGGGAACAAACCTAAAGTAAAAAGAACTTAAAATTGTCAAGAATCAAGATATATTTGTGTCATTGTGCTTTTTATATATGATTCAAAAATCTTTTATGACCATTCTATGCTTCCAACTTTATGGAAAACATACATAATGTCATGGTTGTATGAGCCCTGACCTGAACCCCATGAAACAAAATACAGAAATTGTGAGCCAGGCTATAACCTCACAAATGTTCTTTGGGAAAGTGGACTGAAATACCCGCACTCTCTAAAATCATGGATACTGCGGAAGTAAGATTAGTTCACTATTATTTTTTGTTGTTACTCCCCGTAAATTATTATTTTTGCACTACAGGTCCAGGAGGAAGGGACATGAGTACTAAAAGAATAAATTCAAGAAAGACAACTACAAGAAAAATGTGTGCCTGCTTGATGAAACATTTCAATGGCAAAGCCAGGTCAAATGCTGTACAATGTGGTTGTTTATATGTAGTTGATGAATTCAGGTCCATGACTGCTTCTTTTGAGGACTTCAGGGTCAGTTCATTTTTTTTTTTGTCTGTGTCAGAATCATTCCAGATCCTCCTCATGGATGCGTTGCTGTGCCGTGCCTTTGTTTAGGGTCAGCGAGCTGTCAGGCGGCTCGGGCCAGCACAGGCGTTGCAGACGCTAACAAATGGATACACACAACACTTACTGAATGATGCCACAATCTTGCATACAGCAAAACAATTGAATATATTGGCTGCTTATTGGATTCATACAAAAGTCTTCCTTCTGCCCACCTGACTGAGGGTTCCTTTTGTAGTGCTCAACTTGTACAGTGCCCAGGCTGGCACGAAGAGGATGGAGGAGAAGGCAGTTATCCAGCCCAACGCGTAGGCCCAATTCGGGTACACGTACCAACGGTTGAATGTCAGTGGCTGATACTCAACTAGGGAATATATGAAAGAGCCCTGGAACAAAAAATGACAAGTACTATATCGACGGTATATATCTAGATGAGAGGGTGACACAGGAGTGGATTTTCACTCATGTCCCATACCACGACTACAGAAATTAATCCAATACCAAGTCCCAGACCAAAGTTATATTAAAAAAAAAAATAATAAAATCCTGTCCCGGCCCACTCAGTTCAGAATGACTTCCCACTCCCATTCCGCTCCCAATTTGGACGTCATTTACATTTTAAAAAAAAGTCGCGTTACTCATTTATTGACAGTTTGTGGCTCCCTTTTTCTCATGGACGTTTTTTTTCATGATTTGTGTGTGTGTGTGTGTGTGCGTGTGTGTGTTTGTGTGTGTGTGTTTGTGTGTGTGTGTGTGTGTGTGTGTGTGTTGTGTGTGTGTGTGTGTGTGTGTGTGTGTGTGTGTGTGTGTGTGTGTGTGTGTGTGTGTAATTTGAAGAAATGGCTTAATTTTGTGTCATGGCTGCGATCTGCTTACTTTCTACAAATTTAAACAACTGAATCATAATCCTCTGAGACTGGTGATGCCATGATATTAGCCAGGGGGTGTACAACAATTTTTCTGGCAAATTAGAGGCCAGGTCTAGAATGCACATCGTAAGAGGTGGGGGCGGGGGGGGGGGGGGAAAACTGGC